GGTGCAGGAGTAGGCCAAAACGTCGCTTTTGGAAGCCCATAAGAAGAGAAGAGGCAGGCCTGCGATTAGAAGAGAAGAGGCAGGCCTGCTGCCGAGGGGTTTGAAGACTTGGCCAACTGCTTCACCCTGCGGTGTCCCAGGCGCCTCCCCGCCTAGGCTTTGGCTATAGGCCGGGGTCGGCGGATAACCTGGCATGTTGCAGCAAGCACACAGACCCTCTCTCAAAGGTGTCCGCAAACATTGACCACAACATACTACCTGAGAAGTACTACCTCTCTACAGTAATATAATACCGTAGTGATCTGTAGTGTATAATTAGTTTGATTTGCTTGATATTCACCATTTACATCCATTTACATCGCTTCTCTATTCCGTATGAAGGTGTGTTTGAACCCATAGAAAGATCTTTGCTCATCTCCATTTGGGGCCACACCGCCAGCGTCGGTCGCGTGTGAGGCAGGCGCTCCTGGGCCCGGAGGGCCTCCTGCGCGACCGCGCCATGGTGATGGCCTCGCACAGCACGGCCTGCGCCGAGCGAGCACAGAAGGTGCTGCTACTGGGAACTCCACCAGGTGCGACGGGTCCGCGCGTTTGGACGCAGAGGGCGCGCGTGGTTTTCGACCATGGACGACTGATTGGGAAGTGCGGAGGACGACGAACGGATGAGGGTTTTGACGGAGTGGAATGGAGTGGATGAATTGGAGATGATTCGGAGGATTTGATGGGCAGTTCCTTGCAGTTGGTGTTGTTGAACACAGTGATAGGTTTCTGGATGCATCCATAAAGACTGCTGCCTGGGCAAATCCTCAGTCATCATATTATACTAGTATGTTTGTTGCACCATGTTGCACCTGACTTTGACCACAATTCACCAGAGTCCAGCTTGATTGAGGAAGCATCCTGAAAATCGGTTTGTACATGTTTGTACACTAAGTGGATTCCAAGACTCTGGATCTGAAGCCCCTAAATTCTCATGAGCCTCCTGGATCACTCCATGTCATCATGAAGTCGACCTGCGCGAGGCCGACTTCGATCGGAAAGGCCACCAACATATGCCTACCAGGAGTCACAAAGGGGTGGTGTTTGATCCCTAAGTGAGTGAATCATGGGCACCCCTATCCTCCAAGTTCGGCATCCCGTCGAACGCGACTCCTGGTCGTTAGGCCTAGTGACACCAGGTTTGCCCAGCATGATTTCATCGAACGCTCAAGTTCCAGTTCCGGAAAGGTGCTGAACTTGGAGGATCGCGGCCATGATCCACCCCTTTGGAACTCCTCAGATATCGGGACATATCGGGACCGTGCTTGTAGGATGGACAGCAAACGTGAGATCAGGCTGGTGAGACGGGTTCCGTGAGGTGATTCACAGGATGTGCTCCCCAAAAATTATGAAATGCCCATAGCCAATTCCTATATGGTTCACCCTTCACCCAGTTCCGTCAGCCAGTCATTGGAGCCCTTCACTTGTTGTCTCCGACTGAACCTCCTGGGGCCCATGAAGTTGCCGCATCGACGGTTTTTTTGGGGGGGCTGAAAATACGACGCTGGCTGGTGATCCAATTCTTCACTTGAGCTCCCCCCTTCCGACCCATACTAAGCCTCCAAACATGCAGTTCAGTATGTGCCTGGTTTATGAACTCCAAAGTGTTCAGCAAAAAACAGATATTTTGGTACCAGCTAGTAGCTAGTGACAGCTATAGTGGCTCAGATCAGGAAATCCTCCGTGACAGCTCGTCCGTCCGAAGAACAGCGACCGTCCACAGGGGCCGAAGAGGAATCCAGCTTGCTCTTTGAAGGGACCTGGCCGCTCTCGATGCAAAAAGATCGATATGGGGATGGGTCAAAACCTGGAGCCCTGGTTCCACCTTGTAGCTTGACCTGACGTCGGCAGGTCAACCAAGGTATATCCTGGTTTTGACCCACAGCCAGGTAAAGCCGATGGTGCGTATGTCTTGGTGGAGGCATCCGTGTTGTTGGCTTTCCCCATTGTTCGTCCCACTTCAGGCACTAGGGAGATTTACTCGTTTTTGCAGTGTATATGGGTGTTGGAATCTATCGGAACATTGAGCATTAAACAATCCAAAAAACGTTTGCAACAAACAATGATTCGAACACCCACAGTGTACAAGCTTGGAAAAGTCCCACAGAGAGGTCTCAACAATCAATACAATTGGGGTGAGCATTGCCATTGCATGTGAGTTCATGATGTTGGGCCGGTGCCCGTTCTTGAGGGCTCAGCAACAACAATAAGTTGGCATCAATTATCCCCGCAAGAGACCCCAAACAGTGTGTCTAGAGGTCTACTGTCCAGAGGTGTAGAAGCATCTAGACGTATTGGGTTCTAGAGAGATCTAGAGACCTTGAGGTCCAGAGATCTACAGGTATTGAGATCCATTTAGGTCTTGAGATCCAAAAAGATCTAGAAGTCCAGAAAGATCTATACACCTAGACATCCAGAGAGATCTAGAGGTTTGGAGGTCTAGATCTGGAGATCTAGAGGCCTAGAGCTCTTGAGATTCAGAAAGGTCTTGAGATCTTGAGAACCAAAGACATGAAACCTCTAAGTTTCTAGATCTTGACTATTGAGGCGCAGGCTTGTTGCATGTCAAGGTTGCACGGACCTGCACAACCCCGCCAAGAGTGCAGATTCAATCAGGAGATTTACAGTTGATTCCTTCGATAGCAACCGATTTGGATCTAGATCACGAATTGACCAGGGACGTTGTATGAATATTATAAGCGAGGTCCATTCGATAGGTCCGCTAAACAAGCTTTGGGGACCTGTGCATTTGTGACATCTCTGTAGACAGGAGAAGTGCAACAACATGCCAAAGCATCGTTTCAAGACCTCCATTCCGATCCATTCCAGAACAAGTGATGCGTCTTCCGAAAGAATTAGGACAATGCTCTTTCCGACTGGTAGTTCGTGATGTGGACGTTTCTGCAGCGGAGATCCCCCCAAATCCCCGCGAGGATCAATGGCTCTTTGAAAGGAATGTTGCGCTGACATTGCTTGTTGAAAATTCTTGGCCAAAGGCATTGTTTGGGGAAATGTGGACATGTGTTCAATGACTGAAATTTTGCAATTTACATATAAAAAAATAACAAAATCAGGTACACTGCGTTGACATACTTTATGTCACATAATTCAATTGTCAAATGCAGAACTGCCCTATATATCGGCGCTGTGTTGATCATCCTTTTGGAGTTTCATCCGCTGCACCCACACATACACACCAACAGAGAATAGGCACTGAACGGTGTGTCCGCTCTCCATCGCTGCAACCTTGAACACTTGCGAACCACACGCCGTGACTCTTCCCAAGTCAATGACATTCAATTACATTTTGTTCTTCACATATTTGCGAGGGTTTCCCCTCAAGGCGCGAGCTCTGCGATGAGAAGGAGTTGCTTCAACTTATTGGTCAGGTGCGGTCGGTTGTGCATACGGCTTGGGGTGATATCACAAAATTGCCCTTGAACCAACAAGATGGCTGAGGGATGTGAACATTACCAGTGTTTGCGGTCTGTTCAACACGAGATTCTTAGAGAAAAAGTGTGTTTACAAAATGTTACAAGTGTATCACCAGTATGAACAGCCTAAAGCAGCCTGAAGGTAACGAAGGTAAGACACTATCTTGACAATGGCAGAATGCACACATGCAGTTTTTAGGTTGGTAAGGTATATTTTTTTTGCGATGGCTAAGTGCGCGACAAGTATCTAAGTGGCGACAACATCCGGGCGATTGAGCTACCCAGCAAACGGGTTTGGCTGGTTTGGCCAGTTTGATTTGTTTGGAGATTTTCCTGGAACCAACATGTGAACTCTGTGTGGGACGTTGCAGCAATTGATTTAAACCTTTTGCCAACAAAACAGAGTTTGCAGAGCCTGCCTATGCTTTGCTTCCGTGCGCTTTGCTCCACGCATCTCCAGGTTGAGACGGAGACGCATCATGAGAAGGAGGAACATGCACAGGAGCCGAGCAGGGTCTGCCTGGTACCCACGAGGACGCTGAGAGTGCTGGAGCCAGGTTTAGTCCACGCCGGAGGAAAGGAGCCAGGTCACCAGGGGTGGAAACGCCCACAGATATGTGCCTGATATGCAAGTCTGTGAGTTTGTGCAGCTGAGACGTTACTTCAAATCCGTCCCTGCTTCACCAGTTCCATTGCTATAAGACCCAAGTGCAACATGGTTTCAGCAAACCACGGCGGTTGGAAACTCGAAACTGAGCGCTTCACTTAGGCCGTTTACCCGAGGGGGTTGACTTGAAAAAAGGTTCCATGTTTCAACTGGGTCGGTGGCTAACATGGCACATGTGATGAATATGTTCCAACATGCATTCTAGAGGGGACCCGGGTGGTTGGGTCTCACCAAAGTGATGACGACTTTGCTTTGGACTCGTTCATTTGCAGAGCACAGAATCGAAATCCGAGATGGGTGTGAGCATCAACTGATTTGGACAAATTTTATCGAATTTCCACCTGTTCCCAAGATGCATCATGACTCCTTAAGATCTTCAAGCCGTACTACCCAAGTCTCCCGAACTATTTGAACCCAACAGCAGGAGACCTTCACATGGGCGCTACGTTCGCGTGAACGGACCCCGTGAGCGGGGTGAGCTCGGGGCTCGGGGTTTCACCCTCGTGGTTCCGACGATGCCATGGAGTCCCAGTGGAGTCCGTGAGGAGACCTTGGAGTTGCAGAAGCTTGAGGTGAGCAAGCCGCCAGGCCATCGAATTGGTTTCCACGCACGATCAAAAAACGTGTCCCAGGGAGGACGAGTCGATGGAGGACCTATAGAGGACCTAGGAGGATGGAGGCTGCTCGCAAAAGATAGTCTGAGATGAAGGAGACAGATGTGAGGAAGACATCAACTTCTCAAACTTCAACTTCTCAAACATTTGCACTCTCAAACTTCAACTTCACCATGCAGGGATTTGGACTCTCAACTTCTCAAACATTCCACGGTTCCGTGAGACAAAGCACCCTATAGCACCCTATATACGACGCAATAGGACACATCTAACATGTCTTGGACGACGCAGGTTTGATGAAGGCAGAGGATCACAGCGGCAGCATCTCATGGCGTGCCATCCGCATGTACCTGCGTGCTGCGGGAGGCGCGGTCGGTGTAGTGTGATGGGTAGTTTTCGGTTGATTCGGTGGCTCTTTTGGTCGATTCTATTTGAGAAGGGCAGAGTGAAACACTTAAGTCATATTGCAAGAGTGAAGAGATGGAATATAGGCCAAAAAGGGTTCCCTTCTTTCACGGCTGCGGTGCCATGGTTCTGCGGATCTATGTTCCGAAACTCGGTAGGTGGAAGTGAGGGACCAATGCGGATCGGTCAGACGAGCACGGGCGCAATACTGTTGATACCCCAGGCCGGCTCGGATAGCCCGTTCGCCCTTGGAACTCACCGTAGGACACCTCGGGTGCTCACCGACTGTTCGGTCTGCAACAGAGATTGCGAACAGACGCGGCGTGGCTTCCAGGTTGGGCTGTGGTGTCTCTCTTCGTGCTGAGCTCGGTGCTGGAACGCACGTTGCTGCTCGGTTCGCGCCATGCGCGGCTGGCGGGGTGGGAGGCCGCGGCTCGCAGGTGTGGGGTTCAACTTTCATCCCTTCTGGTCTTGGGAGCCGGGTTCTTCAACTCTTTTCACCCGGCCTATGCATGTTGATTTCATGCGGTGATTCCCGTAGTAACCCTCCTTTTCCTGGGGTGATTCCGGTCACCTTGGGCGCTCCGCCGGTCTCGACGGAGGATCATCGGCTTGGATTGGTGGCTGTCTCGTTGGACAACAGTGACCAGTGAGGTGCGGGCGATGTGGGCGCGATGTGGGTGGATGTGGGTGATTGATGGTGATTGGGAACACATTCATGTTGCGTAATGGGTTACTCAGTGACTGCATCTCATTTTGCTGGCTTTGTCAGGGACTGTCCCTATCGTAGTTAATATACACATCATAGGCCCAAAGGCCATCCGAGCTGCCATGATTTGGGTGTGGGACACATAGCTCCGGATGTTTACCCCTCTGGCAGGCGACAGCAGATGAGGTGGAGGTGGGGTCAGAACCTCCATTGGTGGGAGCGGGGCGCATGAAGTGCATGGGGGTTTGGGTGGCAATTCCAGCAAGGGATGTGACATGTTGTGACTCTTCAAGGGATGTGGGAGCTGTGTTACGGGATGGTTTTTTGCCGAAGATCGTCAAGGTGACCAACCAGTACCCTGTCTGCGCTGGCAGTTCATGTTTTTTGTTTGTTGGGTCAGTTCCTGCCCAGGATCGGAGAGGTGTCGAGGCTCCAAGAGTCCATGGCTTAAGTAAGATTGTGATTTAGATGACAACAGGCAAGATCTTTGAGGCCCTACTTTTTGTTGGAGAAACTGTGTGGTTTTTGGGTAGGTAGATGGGTTTTAGTGGGCTGCGGGTGACTGAAGAAAATCAGACCCTCTCCCCAGCAACCGACATTCATCAGACATAACCTGGTAACGTGATATAACCATCCAAGCTGTCAGGGGGGTTCCTGGCTCTACCTGCCCTGACGAGTGTGACCCTACCACCTTGCCGAATCCACGGAAACCCCTTTCATAGATGGTCCATTCAGGATGACCCAGCAAGGTTTTAACTTCGAACCGTCACGGCGACTGATTTTGCTCGTCTCCCTCCTCGTACGACTTGCGTGTCCTCTTTGAAAGTCCAGCTGCTTGGAGATGGCTCAGACTCAGACCTGCTTAGAAAGCCTGAGGAGTTCGTGAGTCCTATGAGTCCTATGCATACTCGCGTCTTTATAGTTGAAGGCGGTGGCTGAACAAAACCACTGTTAAGTTGCTTGGGGACCGTCGTTCGTTGTTTCGGGGGAATTAGCGCAGAAGAAGTGTTTTTGACCCTTGCGGACCTCTGAAGAATTGGTTGTTCAGAACTAAGAGAGGGTATAAAACACGTCTTGTTTTTTTGCGTTGTTAGTGGCAACATACGAGACCCAAAGGACTATTTCATAGGTTTGTTTGTCTCGTGAGTGGTGAGTGAACGGCCATGGTAAAAGCTTTGTAGACGTTGTAAACCTTTGTAAGTTTGTTTGAAATTCAACAACTCTGTCAACTCTTTGCAAAAGTTGCAAACTTTGTACAACATCTTAAGACTTTGTGAAAGTTTGGTAAACTTTGTATAACTTTGTAAAATAAAAAACTTTGTAAACGTTCTAAAAACTGTGTAAAACGTTGCTCTAACTTTGAAGAATAATTTGAAGAACTCCAAAACTTCGTAAAAGGTTTGTAAACCTTTTTACAAAGTTTGCGAATTTTACAACGTCTTAATGAAGTTTTACCAAGTTCTTACAAAGTTTTACAAGTTTAAAGGTTGACAAAGCTTACAAAGTTTGACAAAGTTTAAAAATGTTTTACAAAGTCTACAAAGTGTTGACAAAGTTTACCAAGTTTATACCAAGTCCACTACATTTTTACAAGGCTTTCAAAGTTGGTACAAAGTTTACAAAGTTTTACGCAGATTTTATGAAGTTTGCAAAGTTTTACAACCGTTTACCAAGTTTACAAAGTTTACAATATTTTAACACAGTTTACAAAGTTTCGAACAATTTCCAAAGTTTACCCAGTTTACAAAGGTTTTACCATTAAAAAATCAATTAAAGACGTATTGAAAGTTTTACAATGTTGCTGCAATGTTGACAAAGTTTTTACAAAGTTTACACAGTTTTAAGTATTGAAAGTTTACAAAGCTTGTGCAAAGTTTATATTTTTTTACAAAGATGGCAAATTTTACAACTTTACATGGAGTTTTTTTCAAAGTGTACAAACATTTGCAAACTTTACACAGTATTTACATAGTTTACAAAGCTTTCACAAAATTTGCAAAGTTTATACAGTTTACACAGTTTTTGCACAGTATTGAAAGTTTACAACGATTTTAGACAGCTTTGGAATTTGACAAAGTTCTTGCAAAGTTCGGAATTTACACAGTTTTTCAATTTTTACAGAGTCTACAAAGTCTCACAAAGTGCTTACAAAGTTTTCAAAGTTTTTACAAAGTTTACAAAGTTGTACAACGTTTTTACAAAGTTTACAACAGCTTTTTCAAGTTTACAAAGTTTTTACAAAGTTTTTACAAAGTTTACCAAGTTTTTACAAAGTTTACAAAGTTTTTCAAAGTTTACAAAGTTTTTACACAGTTTACAAGGTTTTTACAAAGTTTTTCAAAGTTTACAAAGTTTTTACAAAGTTTACAAAGTTTTTACAAAGTTTACAAAGTTTTTACAAAGTTTACAAATGGCTGGTGAAAAACACTTATGTTTACAACAAATGACATGAAAAACACTTCTTTTTAGGCAAAAAATCGTGCAAAAACACTTCTTTCACAGAACTTTACAAAGTTTTACAAAGTTTTTTTTTACAAAGTTTACAACGTTCTGACAAAGTTTGCGACATTTGCCTTTTGTTACACAAATTTACAAAGTTTTTACAAAGTTTACAAAGTTTTGAAGATTTTGGAAAGTTCACGAAGATTTTGCCAAGTTTACAAAGTTTTGCAAAGTTTACAGAGTTTCGACAAAGTTTACAAAGTTTTGACAACGATTACAAAGTTTTGATTGTTTATTTATTTGCAAAGTTTACAAAGTTTCTTTCTACATTTTACAAAGTTTTTACAAAGTTTGTACTGTTTCACAATTTGTACAAAGTTTTGAGGAAATTTACAAGTGTTCAAAGTTTACAAAGTTTTCACAACGTTCACAAGGTCTTTCAAAATGTTTACAATGCTTTGACAAAGTTTGCGAAGTTTAAAAAACGTTTTACAAAGTTTGCAAAGTGCTACGAAGTTTATAACGGTCTTTTTTTAAATAGAGTTTACGAAGGCCTACAACATCTAAAAGTTGTTTACAAAGTTTACAACATGTTAGTACAAAGTGTACAAAGTTTGCAATGTTTACAAACTTTACAAAGTTTACAAGTGTTTACAAAGTTTTGACAAAGTTTTCGCATTTTACAATTTTTTTACACAAAGTTTTCGCAGTTTTTTACACAGGTTTACAAAGTGTACAAAGTTTTTACAAAGGTTTACGAAGTTTAAAGTGTTTCAGTGTTTAAAAAGTTTACAATTTTAACAACAGTTTACGAAGTTTTGACAAAGTTTGCAAATTTTTTCAATCTTTACACAGTTGTTGCAGAGTTTTGAAAGTTTACACAGTTTTTCAATTTCACCAAAGTTTCTAAAAAGCTTACACAGCTTTTACAAAGTTTACAAAGTATTTACAAAGTTTACAAAGTTCTTACAAAGTTTACAACGTTTTGCAAAGTTTTCAAATAATAAAGTTTACACAGTTTTGGCACAGATTGAAAAAACGAAACTTTGTAGAAAGTTTGTAAGCATCAAACACTTTTGTAAAAGCTTTGTAAAAACTTTCAAACTCAATAACTTGGTAACAACTTTGTAAAATTCCAAAACTTGTTCAAAGCTTGATAAATGTCCAAAGCTTTGTTCAGATATCTAAAGGTTCAATACTTTGTAAAAACTTCGTAGTTCCAAAGTTTTGTAAAATTCAATGTACTGTAAGTGTCCAAAACTTTGTGAAGTTTGTTATTTCTATTTTTAAACTTTGTAGACTTTGTTAAAACTTTGTAATGCAAAAACTCGGTTAAAAAAGTTGTAATTCCAAAACTTTGTCAAATTTTTGTAAAGATCCAACACTTTGTAAACACTTTGTAGGAAGTTTGTTTGAAGACCTGCGAAAGCTGTTCAAGAAGAGCTGATCTTTGGATCAGTGAGACTGCTTGCATTTTTTTGTTAAAAAAACGGCATTTGGTGCTTGCGCTTTGGGAATTTGTGACTGATGGCTGTAGTGTTTCAGGGTATTGAGGGTGAGAAGAAGGGTCGAATGGTTATTGGTTGTGCAAGTGTTTTAAGACTTGGCCACGGAAACACCAAAACACTTCTTTCATTTTTTCCAAATAACATTGGTGCAAAACACTTCTTGCGAGCAAAAACACTAAACTCAAGCAACTTAACAAAAACCACTGGCAGCAAAGAACCGCCCACTTTGGCTGGCATTCTTTCATCAAATTCTTTGTTCTTTGGCAAGCCAAGAGACCCCCTCTCATCCAAACAGGTGAGCTTCTACCTCGGCGTCTACTTGGTCGTGGTGCTTTTCGCTGCCTTCTTCGTGGCCCTCAGCCGCCGCCTGGTCTTCTGCAGCTTCCAGGGATCAAGGGATGCCTGCATATAAAGGACAAACTATGGCACACTTTGGAAATCTTCAGGGTTTGGCTCTAGCCATTTCTAGAACTCCATTCCATTTCTACCCGTTCTACGCACTCATACCATCCCAAACCCTTTCACTATGGGGTCGATCTATTGCGGAATACGTTGATTGACTCGACGCAATCATGCATGATTTGACCTGGCAAATTGATTTGTGAAACATCGTTGCTTCGGAACCACAACTGACAGCTTCATCGGCACTCGATCTGTGGTTCGGTTTGGTGGGGTTAGGGAGGTCGGGGTCTAACTACCTGAGGATGTACTCACTCAGGGCCAGGGGACGGTCTAACACTGTTAGACTCTAACATGTACAGTGACCTGATGCCCTGGGAGTCGGGAGCCCAGGTTTGACCATTGCCGTGTCCACCGTGAAAGCTGGCCAACGTCTTTTCGAGCAGCTTGCCATGCGCGTGGCTCATGCACCCACTCGCTGGTGGGTGCCTTCGGCTGCAGACGAGAACCAACTTCTCTTCAGTTTTCGTAAACGGTCACCATAGCCAACGTATGGCCCAAATAAATAGAAACGGTTTCCAATACGTTTCTTTGTGGGGATCTACTTTTCTATCTATTTGGTGGTCTATATCTATATTATATATACCTGGAGCCTGAGTGACCCCTGTTTTGGAGGATCAACTATCCAAAATATGGTCTTTTCCTATCAAAACAAAGGTCAGTCAGGCTCTAGGTATATATATATATATAAGTGAGTCTTTTACATGGCCAAAGTCACCATAGAACCTCTCCTCATTAAAACATATCTCTATTATATCTTATTGATTTTGGGTATTGGACCTCCATGGTCACCGGCACCGCCAACAGCACGGCACCGCTATCTCTTTGTTGGGAGTGGGATCATTACACTTAAATCTAACGGTTGAGCATATGTGTTGAATCATACCATTGCATAAAATGGCCATGACTGCATGGTTTCAGGCAGTTTTCTGGATTTGATGACATCAAACCAATATGGCAAAACCAATTCAATTCCTGATACCAGTTGGCAACAGAATGATGTCCTTCATGTCAAACCAATACAAATTAACATGAATATGTCAAACAAACGGTGAAAGTTGTCCCTTTACTCACCACGCACCCCGTCTCCGGACGCACCGGGTTCCCAGGACACCACTCCTTTGGGTCGGGTCTTGAACCGCTTCAGCCACTCGGAGCAGCGAACACGGACGTTGGCCGAACCGGTGGGGAGTGGACCGCCCAACCGGACTCAACCGGACGCTCGGACCTGCTGTCCACAGCGGACGCAACGGTAGTCTTCGACTTTGGTTCCGAGTGGTCTTCGGTAGCGTCATCTCCGGTTGGGATCTCCGGTCAGTGCACAAAGTTGATGTTGGGTGCAAGCTCCCGGGCCAGGTCCAAGCTCTTGGGCCAAGTGTCTTCGTCAGAGTTGCATTCTCTTCTGCCTGACCGTCCATGTATGGAATAGTTATGAATAGTTACATACATTAGGGTCCGGTATAGAATGATTAGAATGGTCTACCATAAAAATAGGGGACTCTATAACTCTATTTCATCCATGGATGGTCTGGGTCTGTCTAGCTTGGGCCTTCTGCAGTCTCCGGGGACCACCGAACTCCACGTGACTCGACTCGACTCGGATCGACTGGCGAGGCTTCGACACCGAGAACGCGGACACCACGCTGGTGACGCGACTCGGATCGAGGAAGGGAGGCGAGAACTCGGATGGGTGGGTGGGTGTTGGAATCCCATTCCCTATAGGGATGCAAGTACCGTGTCAGAAGGTGATTGGAGACTCTTAATGTAGACGCCTCCTGGCCCAAGTACCTTCTGAAAAGGTATGTGGATCACTAGGGATTGGCCCTGAAACAGATCCACAACTGGACGGTCACGTTGTTTGGCAAATGTCAGATTCCGTCAATGACGTATATAATTGACATTAATTGACAACATATTAAACCTAAAGTAAGTGAGGTGGTTCCTGGTGTGCCACACAATTCCAATCAATGTTGGCTCAAAATTGACTTTGGATGATTTTTGGCGGTTCTTCAATTCATCAGGTCATCGAGTCGATCCTGTTTCGTTCGATCCCGGACCCAGGAAGCTCTTCCCCGCGATCATGTCCTTGAGCTGGTGTGCTGGGGCGATTGCAGTGCCTCGGAGATGACCGTTCAATTGATCATGGGTTCTGCAGGGCATCGGGGGGGGGTTCTGCAATTGGTTGTATAGCAAAGCTCGATCCATTAACAGTACGTTTGTGTCTAGGCCTGGTGGTAGTTGCTCCACCTTTAGTTTTGTTGATGAAGGCTTACAGTAAGTGTATGGAGGATCAAGCAGACCTTGAGCACAGCGTGCCGCATGGACAAAACCTGGCGCACGGTGTGCTTTGAAGGAGTGCAGCCCGCCCCTTTAATCAAGTGATGGCAGCTTTGCTTGCCAAGCGGTGTGAGACAGTGCCCAATCCGAGTCCTGTGGGTGAATTGATGTGAATTGGCTCCACGACCAGGCTGTGTTTGACACCATGGATGGTCCGGACTTCGCTGCATGTGCAGTGCGGTAGTTATGGATTACTGATCGGTCCACGAATGACTCGACAATCGAAAGACCACTTCTTGGTCCCCGAGACCCATAGGCAGCGACAGGTAGTCCAATTGTTCCTTGATTTCGAGTGAATGGGCATTTTGCATGTGACCAGAACCCACCAAACCAACCCCAAAAAGAGGGCAGTTGCTGAAATCATCCATGTGTCCGATCCAACCGACTCTGTAGACCTTTACATACCTTTGCCGTTTTTCCTCGAAGAACCCTAGGCCCTATAGGCCCCTAGGCGGTCCCAGGTCCATCATTGCTCCGCAGTTCCCTCTATCTCTGAGTTATTTTATTATCCACCCTGGACCCTCCAACGACAAGAATTTTCTTATAGTTTTTGTTTTTGACTACATTTTGCAAGCAAAAACTGTAAACGCTACAATCGCTAAGAACGACATAGTTTCAATAGTTTCCTGGATTCTCGTAATTTACTTCAGTTTTGGTGTCCTGACTGCCAAAGGTTAAGATGGGACGCTCGACAAGAATTACCCGCAAAACGCCCGCAAATATCCCGCAAACGCTAGCAAATACCCGCAAACGCCCGCAAATCACATTTCCTTGTCGTTCCAGTTGTTTTCTCATCTCTCTGTTTGACTGTGCCGGTAATGTTTTTACGAAACGCTAGGTTTTTTATCGAATCGACAAGAATGACATGATTTTTTGTCAAACGATTGATTTCAACAAACGACGAGAAATCTCTTTGCATTGGAGGTTCAAGGACATGTTTTCCAAGATCCAACTTACACCGTTTCGTACGCGCCCGAAAACGCAAAGCCGGTTGTGGATGGGGGTCGAAACGGCGCAAGGGCGTTGAACAACCAAACCATCGTTCGTCCGCGTTCATCCGACCGTCGATGTGTTGCTCACCTTCGCTCTATACCGAGACCCCAACATCGCCAGCCATCGTGGGCGTTCAGCCGTCCGTGACGTGGGGAGGCAGGCGTCCGGGGACACGTGAGGTCATGGTGGTGACCTTTTGGCCCTGGTCCCTTCTCTTCGTCCCCATCCCCGCCGCGGCCCTAGGGACGGTGGGACGGTCGACGACTTTTTTTGTGAGACCAGGTGGAAGGGAACTGAAGGAGCGTCCTAGTCCCCAGGGTTTAGGGTGTTTTTGAAACGAGTTGAATGACATATTTGGTTCATGTTCTTGATACAGCTACCAGTGAGCTGCAAGGTTTAAAATGTAAGTTTAAAGAGTATACAGAGCTAAGCACAAGCCTTGGGTTTCTGGAGTTTGTGTCACAGATTCCGTGAGGGCAAGGCTAAGCAGTCTTTTTGGCCAACATGCTACTATCACGAATCTCTCGTACCTTCAAAGCAAAAACATGGTTTTGTTCTACGGGGAATCCAAGACCCTGATGCACCATGACGACCAACAACCCACTTTTACAAAAACTGGAGGTTTGTAGGAATTCCAATATGTATTTGCTATCTTCATCCACTGCTGAAAAACACACATTAAAAAGAGAAAGTTTCGCGCCAACTTCTTCCCAAAGAGACATGTTGCACCGCAATTGATGAAGGAAGGAGGTCATAGAAATATGAAATGTCATAGTAAAATCAGGATACAGTACACCCTCACGGCCAAAACGGCCAGAGGGGCTGCCAAAAAGAGGTGTTTGAGTCCGGAGCTACCTCTTGTGTGGATGTGCTAGTAGAATCCCGCGGACCATAACAACACAACTTCAAGTTTCGACAAGATCAACACCTTCCACCAGCTGAGCTGCCCGTCAATCCACGAACGAGACAAAAGAGAAGGATGATAGCTGGTGGTTCCTCCTAGGTACACCCAGTGAAAAGAGAAACGGTTATCCCGTAGAAACAGGTGTGGTATGGGCCTACTGAGTGTGTTTCTCCTGGTTTCCTCCATACACGAGGGCCCCTATTTCTAGGGTGTCTAAGAATATCCCCTTAGAGGTTAAGGGGTGTCCGTTAACTGCACCGGTGGGCCGCCCCGCTGTGCTGAGACCTTCATCTACTTCCGGCTGTTCCAGTTCTCCAGGAAGTCCATCCGACAGTTCCAGCAACTGGGGCGTTAAGAGTGCTTCACCGACGGATCACCATGTGCAAAGCGACGGTTTTTCCACGAGAACCCAGAACAGGTGGAAAGTTCTGTTCACCTTGATTTTTAGAGGGGAACTGAGAGAGTCAGTGATCCAAACCAAGTGTCCACTGGGCCCTAAGATCCTCCCCCTGAACGAGGAGGAAACATATACAAGTATGAGAGGGGGCCGACATTTGCCGCACAAGTCTGTGATCTGGATAGCTGGCTCAAAGAGTAGTTTCTGCACGGTGATCAGGACAAAGTGGACAAAACATAGGAATATTGTGTTGGTGTTTGTTTGTCTGTCTGTCTGTTTGTTTGTTTGTTTGCACAGAACACCCCCGAACCAAGAAGACGTGTCGTCCTTTTGCCCAAGTCTTAAGGAGTATTTTCAACGCGCTTTCGTTTCATGCACCCTTTCAGTCTCCTACTGCAGAGGGTTGCTGTCTTCTACTGATCAGAGTGTTTGTATAGTTTTCTTTGTCCAGATTTCCTGAGACTGAGCAAATCGGCTTTTGCGACAAGAGATTGCGTGTTCTGAAGCAGGAGCTTTGGGTGGCTGGCCTGGTTTCCCTAATTAATGCATGTAGACAATATATTATGTAGACCGTCGATAAATAAAACCCCTCTACCAGAATGGTTTTGAAGGGTTTTAAATTCGAAAACCCCTCTACCAGAATGGTTTTGAGGGGTTTTAAATCTCGAAAAGGGGGGGTTTCATGAATTAATCAACAGTCACACGATGACTTGGAGCAGGGATATTATAACAGGAATCACATCCGAGAATCTTCAGGTGCTTGTACTCCCCTCACGGTTCAAGAGTCACCCTCCGAACTTGTTGTGCAAGACAGTAGTACGAACCATGGAAGCTGACCACCACCTGGCCAGTAAAATGGTTCAAACAAGTGTGTCTTTTCTTTATTAATCTTTATTCATTTCTTATAGCTATATATGTAATCTAGTCTTTGCTTGTTACACAATAATCTGTCCCAAACCTCATGAAGTGAGATCCCTGAACCCTCCCCGCCAAGTAGCACGCGTGCAGCCTGGAGGGTGCCCCGTGGCCCTCCCGATGCGGCGGCTGCAACGGCGCGAACAGCACGGCGCGTGCCGAGGCAGCTGGATAGCATCTCGCGGAGTCCCATCCAGTCGGTCTACTCCGAGGCGGTTCGCGATCGGCGGACGTTTTGTGCCCCCCCAAAAAAATTAGCCTGTACGGTACGAGCGCTCTCGAGCGCTCTCGAGCGCAGGATCCTATCCGTCATGTAGGATCCAGCTGCTGCTAACTGGTGAGGTGGATCACCGCCACGAACTGTTCGACGGATCACGGATCCCCACGGCGTACAGGAAGGTGTCAGTCGTTGGACCGTCCATTTTCGGTGTCCCATGTGGGAAGGATCCGGTCCGTACCCGTTTTGAGTACCTAGGAGTCCTAGCTGTCCGTGTTCCAAGTGATCCAAGTGCGAGACCTTAAGTGATTGTCATTAACTGACCAGAACCTTGTTGGTGAGATACTTGCATTCAGATGCATTCAGATATATTCAGACCTTGCATAGACATCCAATGTGACACACGCTGTGACCTGAACGCTCGGACTGAACGCTCGGACCGAACGCTCGGACCACGGCTGAACCGGCCGAAGCGGGCCGGACGCCAGGTCCTGAATGGCATCGTGAGCGTCCGTGCCTTCGCCTGCGAGGCGAGGGCGAACGACGAGTCTCCAACGGGGCCCGTCGGTGATCCGATGTCATGAAGAAAGACAACGGAGCATTTCTGGTGGGTTTTCCATGAATCATCATGAATCAGGATTTAGAGTTGGAACTGGTTCTTGCAAAAACAGAGGGGCAACTGGGATTGAGTGAGATGTTGTTTTTTGGTTGGCTCTTCTTTCAGCGAATGAAGGGCATGTTTGAGTAACTCCATGATTGCAGAAGTTTTGGCACAGATGGCCTATGGAGGGCAAGTCTGATCAGAACACCTGTTTTGAGAGAGATGTGTCCTGGATGAGCGGGCCACTCCACTGTTCCCACTGCAAAGCTTAATCGTTTGGCTTAACCTTCAGGATAATCTGGGTGGCCTAGCCTACGGCTACACTGTCCAACCAGACCAACCGGAGCCTTCCAGTCCACGAGTCGACCTCTCGGAGCCTCCCTCACTGCAAAAACGATCGATAATCAGTTTGTACAGCACCAGAGTTTAGCGATATGTTTGTTGACATTGCATGGCTCTCCTTGCTCCCTGTGGGACCCCTTATTGATTCAAGTGAATTCACCTCCGACTGAAGCCTTTGGCCCCGTATTGTCTCTTGCCTTCACAGGCGAAACTCGAAGCCGAGTGGTTCGATCTGAACGTCGAGTGTCAGGATTGCGGTGAACAATTCAATCAATTTGTCATGATTTATATATCATCATGTTACCATGATCGAGGGTGGTTTTACACCGTTTCTGGGGGTGGCTTAAATCATGATCAGTTGCTGCCAGTTTTGCGCCAAAGCTGGATGGGACGGTACCGTCAGTCGCCCCTGTCCGGACCCGCCCGCGCCGAATCCAACCCGCGCAAGGCTCAATACCAAGAGCGCTTGGCCAACGTCATCGACGTGACTTGGGCGCTGGCCGTTTGGAAGTGACCCTCGAAACCCAGACCACTGAGGATTTGACGGCGTTCCCAATGGTTTTGGGGAGGAGGGCACTCGCCTCAAGGGTTTCCAAGCAAACACGAGGGTTCAAGAGGTTATGTGATGACTTGTGGGATAGGCAAGCTTCGTTTTGAAGTCTTCCCCAATCAAAAGTCAAAGGAGGTGGCCCGGGGACCCTATTGTGTTTTGTGTTTGTTTGAATTGATTGCCCCCCAACACAGACAGACAGAGACAGAGACCCACAGACGGACAGCCTCGCACACTCACTCTCTCACTTACTCACACACACACACATGCATACCAAGGTGACCAGACATTCTTCCTCAACGCGAGTAAGGCATCCCTCTGGGTCCCTTAGGGTGTATGTATGTTAGTTCTTCTCATGAAGCATTACTCTGAGCATATAAAAGAGCCCACAACTAGTCTTCTCATAAAGCAGCACCATGCCCAAAAGAAATGTAGCTTGACCCCCTCCCACGTATTTGCGGGGCACCCCGGGGGGTAGGCTAAGATACAGGAAACTATATTTAATATGTTTAATGCTCGGGGCATATGTTTGATGAGTGGGGGTGGTCAACAAATGTAATCTGCGGAAGCTTGAAGCTTGCTTTTGCTCATTGTTTCTCAGAACTGCTTGCCTTCCCTTCGCTGGCAGGCCCCTACGGTCAAATGGTGACTCAGAAAGAAGGAAGACATAAAGAAAAGATAGACACCAGCAGTAAAAGTCAGTAAATTAGATAGTTAGATAGATAGAAATAAGAAAATATAAACAAACATACATAAATTTAAATAAGAGAGAGAGAGAAGAACAAATAAGGAAAAGGGGGCTACCGCCCCACGCACACCCACCCGAAGAATACATTAAGGAACCTTCGGCCTTCAGCACAAAAAAAATCAGACAAGATAGAGACAGAAGAAAAGGACGAAGAAGACGAGGAAGAGCAAAGAACTCCCCCAGCATCAAAAGACCGTTTGTGTACAAAATGCCCCCCCCAAACTATCAGCATGTAAAACAAACACCCCCGGACCCAACAGCGGGATAAGAAACCAGCGCCCGAGCAAAAAACAAGGAGCTATAACGACCTCTACCCATTACTTCCGCTTGGAGCTGACTTTTTTTGACGAACAAACATGTTTCATGGAGTGTAGTAGCATTTCATTGTGTTCATAGCATATAGAAAATTATGTCCTTGGCAGGCGAAAACATGCCAAGAGCTAACCTGCAGGCCCAGCCCGTCATTTCTGATTTTGTTTGAAACAGTACAGTACATATATAAACTGAAATGAAGTCACTCCATTTGTTTTTTCTGTTCAATGCAATTTTGGGCGCTAAATGGAGGCAGATGTGGCAACCTTATGATGCCTGAAGATCCTTCTTTTATTGTTTGTGTTGTGTCTCAAAACTGACTGCACATTTAACTCGATCAAACCTAATGTTCTTGCTCCCACAGTGCCACAGTGTTGTAATAGACAGATTGGTGTTGCTATTCTGTCAGACCATGCTTATGTGCAAATTGTTGTGAACCTCCAATACACGATATCCCTTTCCAACAAGTCATTGGTCGTCGTCCCATGTCGATCCAGACGTCCATGCCCGCGGCCTCAATCCGTTCCGAATGCGAGGTGAACTCGGGCGCCATTTTGACGTTTAACTCCTCGAACCGTTGGTTGGGCGTCAGGGTGGAGCTGCTCGCCGGGTCAATGGTGACGCTAGAATACACGCGCTGCGTTTTTTTTGTTTACTTCCGGTGTGTTCAGGCCTTGCGGAGAGGAAAGGAGGGAAGAGATGATGTGGCCTGGGTGGTGTGTGGTGTATGTTCACTCTTTCCTTTTGCCGAGTTTACACATTGTACAGCAGCAGGGGCGTGTGACACTCTTATCCTATCACACGCAACGAAGCATAACGAAGCTGTGGATAAGAGTGGGAAGGGAAACGTGGCCAGTTTCCTGTACCTGCACCAATTGTTTAACATATTCTAAAGAGCTAATGCGTTTGTTCAAACATTCAGTTGCGCTGACCTTTCATTCCTGCGGTTTTGCAAGTCAAGAGCTAAGTATTCACTTAAAGTGCTAATGCTCACCGCGAATAGCCTGAAGACAAGCTCCACGGAGCAACCTTCTCAAGTGTGTGTGTTTTTGTTTGGTGTCCGTACTTGAGGTTGGGGGTAATATGATCCAATGGGGTTAGACTCGGCAAATCGACCAGATTGCAGGACCATGACTGGAGAGAACGTGTGCCTGACTGGCATTTTTTCAGCAGCCTGTGTATGAAAACCTAGTGATGGAGAAGTTGGGCAACAAAGGTTACAACTGTATGAATTTAAGGTTTTTTCCCGTGCCTCTCATAAGTGGCCACAACAATATATTGGCTACTGTACGTGTTTTTGCCTAGAATTCAGCATGGTCCATCAAGTGCTGCGCAAATGCAGGAAGCCAATGGTGGTGTGATGTTTTGCAATCATGTTGGAGGGTTTACAAAGAGCAGATAAAGTTTACGAATTTCGCTCTCACCTTTGGCATGCCAAAGCGAGAGCAGGCCGCGCGACGTTGCAGCCAAGGCTCCTGGCAGCCTTCATCAGTAGCTTGTTGGGCCTCGGCGTGTGGCTCTTGCGCGGCTTCGTTCCGGCGAGCTTAGCACCTCAGCGATGTGTTTTTGGAGGGTAAGAAAAGAATATTGGAAGGTCCTGGTAGTAGTAATGCATTTGTTACTAGTAGCGGTGCATTTGTTACTACTAGCGATGAATGCAGACAAGTTGTGCTGCACTTGTTTGGGGATGCTTGGTGCTTGTTTGTGCAAAGGAGGGATTCCCAGGGATGATCGGACTGTGGTTGATGGCTTTGTGAAGCCTTGTCAGGCGGGAAGTCTTTGGGGCCCCCTTTGGAAGTATCACTGTTTTTTTTGTTCCTGGCTGTGCTTGCTTTCCTCCAAGCAAGGGTCAATCCTTTGCCTTGTTCCACTGCCTGGACATTAGAGGGTGCATGTTTGGTGGTCAAAGTACTCCTCAGGTTGGTCTTTTGGGGCCGGTGTACGTCCTGAGTGTAGGAGGCTTTGCCCAGCGTGGGCCGAGATAGAATCTGCTTGAAGGAATGCGGATTAGCCGCCGTATAGGATGCGTTTCATGGCAGTTGAGGTTGGCATGTGCTTCATTTGGAACTCGAGTCTTGGCAAAAAATCGCCGAAGGCAGGATCCATGTGTAACACACTTCTCCACACCCAACATTTGCCTGCAGGCAGGAACCACTCAGAATTCTTGTATTCAGAGGTATACGTAGGTTGGTGTATTCAGAAGGTCGTGGTACACCTAAGAGTCCCCTATAATCCAAGGTTTTTTGGCCTTCGATGTGTGTTGCTTCTTCCATGTACTTTGATTTGGATGACTATCCTCCAGTCTCCTGAGTAACAGGCGCCTGCGCGGTGCGACTCCTGCCACATCTGCTGCCAAAAGATATGGCCTGCATCCACTTGCATGTGGGAGGTCTACCAGCTGGTCTACCACTTGGGGAGGATTACCAGCTGGTCACCAACAACTCCCACTAGACAAAGCGTCAAGTCGCCCTGGTTCGGATGCCCGCCGCCCAGGGTCCGCGGTTCGCCCATCAGTACCATCCCTTTGTCCATCGAACACACCTTCGAACAGCAAGATCATGATCTTCCGTCGGACTGGGAGGGATGACTTGGAGGGTAGTTCAGATCTTCAGGGATCCCAGACAAGGCTTCCCAGCCTGGCTCCTTAAGATCCCGATTGATCCCAGAAGTAGTAGAGGCTTGTAAGAAAGCGGCATATAGCCCAAGAGTATCCAAGAGTTTTTCCGTTCTGTATGGATCCCAGAACCTTCTCAGAAGGGTAGGAACTAAGCTTCCACAACCTGGAAGCATCCCCAAGCACCTGAAGACATCCACCTGGTCATAGGAAAGACCACCCTGGCACCTGGCAGCCACGTGTGCCTGAGGAACTTAGCCGTCTCCCTCGGGTTCAACTGCATCTTCTCCAGCCAGGCATGCAACAAATAAACGTGACCATCAACATCAAAACTTCGCTTGTTTCAAGTAGACTATACGTCGTACGTGTGTGGTGTTACGCCCATACCCGAACAAGTTCTCCAAACAAACATCCCATCATCACATCATATTCACATCCCATCACATCCCTATTTTTGCCCTTGGCTTAACATCCTTGTCACCATCGAGCTCTCGCGAGTTCTCGAGTGATTTGGGGGGAAGGCAGCTGTTGAGAAGCAAACGAAGCTGCTCCCCGGGTCGCCAGCGTAGCACGACCCAGTCCAGGCCGAAGCATGCTTCACGTCGATCGAGCGCATCACTGAGTATGCCGTGGAGGCACTGAGTATGCTGTAGACGCACCAAGCTGCCATGATCAGGAACTAGTAACTTACATCAGCACGCAGAAGCTACTAGTAACAAAGGCATCGCTACGAGTAACAAGGGCATTACTACTAGTAGCTTAGTAGCTAGCAGCTAGCAGCTAGTAGCATTTGCAACTAGCAACACTACAGAGAGCCTTTAGGAACATGATCAACAGGGGTTCTTCCTTTTACATCGGATGCTTCCTTTTAACTGTGTTCGTGATCGAGAACACCTGGCATCGAATGGCCCCAGGTCCCCGACGAGAGACTGGAGCATCCAGACGTCGCGAGGCCACGGGAGGGGTTGGTGGAGATGGGGTGAAAGTGAAGATTCGGAGCGGTCGGGAGGCCATATCTTGAAAGCTAACAAGTTTGACCAGGAACAAGTGGCTTTCAAGGATTTTCAAGGCATCCAGGTGGCCAAGTTTACTGGTAGCCTTGGAACAAAACATGGTTACCTCTAAGTGATGGCAGTCAGTCTGGTGTTTGGAACTTCGCATGGCCACAAACTTGGCTGCCGGGGAAGAACCAACTTGAGTTGGATTCTTTGTGAAGTTGCTTTGTGTTATTCAATTATTCCCATACTTTCGAACTCCTCACCACAAATACCAATGCTGACCCGCCGCTGAAGGCGGGTGCAGCACTCAGTGTCCCGAAGTTCTCAACTGTTTGGGTTCCCTCGTGTGCCACGGTCGCTTCCCACACCGACGCGCGTGTCCGGGACAACTCGCAGACGCGCTGCGCCGTTCGTTCGACTTTTAGGAATTCGCAGAAGAGATCCCTTTGTTGGTTTGGGATCTCAGATGGAGTTTATACGGTGGCTTTTATTATTCATCAACAGTCTAAATTGGGAGATCTCAGGCTGAACACATCGCAGGTTCACATTGACTCTCCAGGTGCACTGCTGCTGGCACTGCTGGTGCCAGCGGAGGCCGCGGAGAGGAGGGCAGTGCCTTGCTCAGCTTCAACCAGGCAGGTGCGTTTGGGAATGGCCGGGATAGGCCTGGTTCTCTTGATGTTGACAACCTGTTCCAAATCGACAAACGTAGAAGTATGCTGCTGGTTGGTAAGCAACTCCAAGGATTTTCAGATTTCCCAAGTGATGAGGAGATTGCAACTTTGGGATCCAACCGATTGAACCAAGGCAAAATTCAGTTGTTAATTTACTGTATCTCCTCTATATATTATATAGCCCGTGTGTCATCACAACGGTGCACCACGGCATATCCTTGCCCTGTTGCCGATCTCCCTGGTGCTTTTCGGGACTTACTTCTACACTTTTCCGGATGGTTATTTTTTCCAGATGCTTTTTGTTGGTATTGGGATGCACTGACTTTGCATTGAAAGTCCTTTTTTCTCCATAGGTGTCGCTGAGATATCAGCCTGGCCTTCCATTGGCGCTGAACGCTGTGAGCTTCCACCTACAGCGCCAGGAGCAGGGCGAGGGGCTGTGTTGGGCCGCAGAAACATGGTGGGCTAAGGGTGGGTGCATAGAGATGATAGAGCCGACTCGACCTGGGAGTTTCCTTTATATATAACTTTTCTGGGCTGAAGACAGGGAACTTGGAGAGAAGAAGAGGCTCAGGCTTTCAATGTTTGGCCAGTTGCCTGCATATTCCACCAAAGAACTTCATTTGTTCCGGAAAAATCAATCCACATAGCCCCCGTAGACCGTGCGAATGAGATGGTACACATGGAGAGTTATGTCATACAACCCTCTGAGGATGAACAGCTGGATCCATGGCTTAATAGTTCCAACACTGAGCAGTTTCAGACTGCATTCTCGATGCCGTAATATAATATATGATGTTTTACTATTTTTTACTGATCTGACACTGACTACTTTACTATAGCTGTACAGATGCATCGTGTTCTTGTTGTCCTTGGACTAAACCAGTTGACCAGTAACATGAAATAGAAAAAGGGCCCCTGTCACAACAGAAGCTCGTCTTCATCCGGGTGATTTGCATTGCTTAGCATACGACATCATACGACACAATGACTGCGGAATAGAACGATCATGACTAGAAGAGACATGAAGATACTGGTCGATGCACCTTCCGACACTATGCACGGGCCAAAGACCGGATTTGTCAAACAAAGGGTTTGGACGGGCTCACATCCCACAACCCTTCAGCGAGCTCGTCGCCTTGAGAAATAGACTCCAGCAGTTTGTAGCTCCTGGTCCCTCTTTTCACACATCAAGAGACGGGACCTTAAAGGGGCGTAAAGGGGGACACTCCAGGATAGAACCCCAGCGACCTCCAAGTGGTATTTATCAAATCAACCTTCGGATCTATAAGGAGCCCGGCTGAGACAGGATGAGAATGCTTGCTTCAACCTCTCCAAACTCACCACCCCCCGGGAGAAAAAGCCCGCTGCAGCCGGCGCCTCTACTCGACCGGCGCGACGCGACCCGGTCCCTTCGTGCGACGCTCGCTGACATCAGGAGCGCTTGGCGGTGGTCGGCCGCACGGGCTCTGGAAAGTCGACCTTGGCGGTGGCCTTGTTCCGATTGTGCCCCTTGGAGGCGCGCCACCCGACCCTTGCGTTTCGGGAGGACGGGGTGGCTCGAGGACGGGGTACAGGGGGTTGGGGGGTGCACAAAGGCGAAGCAGATGATTTCCTTGCAGGAGTTATATTTTTTTGTGAAATGCTGTGAAAGAAGACTTTGGAAGAAAGACTTATGTAGTTTTTGAGAAAGAATACTTTGGAAGTGAAACGCTGTGCGGGAGTTCTGCGGGCATTTCAGCTCTATATCGACATAATATAGACTCTATGGACATCTTTGTTTGTTTAAACTCTTTCTCAAACATGTATGGAACATTGGGAACAGATTTCAGCCAGCCTGTGCATACCTCGAACATCCTGGCAGTTAAGGCAGTTAAGGCAGTTAAGGGGCCAGTTGTCATTTTCTTTTTTCGATCGTTCAGTGCGTTCGGGGCTTGTTGTGCACGTGATTGTGGGGTCCTACCTCAGGAGAGCAGTGGGGCCTACAATAGGCGTCAAGAAGAGATGGTTGTCACCACACAGCACATGGAGGGGCTAAAGGCTAAAGCTCAAGATCTATATGGTTAGAATTGTTCATATCTATGGAAATGAACGGCTTCATTTGCTGCAACCCATGAATCAGCTGACCCAGGATTGCCTGTTGCGATCTATTTCCCAGATTGCAAAACAAATTAATTAAGAAGAATTGTAAAACACATGCACGGTCTTTGTACGGCTTCGCAAAAGTTCAGTTCCAAGAGTCTACAAGCAGTTGCCATCAATTCTGTGAGAAACCAGTTCCGAGCTTGAAGTGTTTCAATGTGTTTCATCTTTGGAAGCACATATATGTAGTATAACAACATATAGACAGACCTTCCAAGTTGTGCTATGTGCTGCTTGGTTATTTTTGTTGCCGCACAGCTAGGAACATAGCTAGGGACCCGCAGGAACCCACACTCGAGGGCTCCAAGTGCATCCTCAGAAGAAAGGTCAACCAGTCATATTTAGTTCTTACTGTTTGTTCTTTTGTGTTTTCCTTTCTTGCTTATAGTTATAGTCCTTGATAAACCCTTGATAAACAGTTCTTTGACGCTTTCTTTATGGACAGCTCTTTTTCTTTGGGTGATGTTCTTTTCATGTCGCGTTCCCGTCTTTCCTTTCGTTTGACCCACCCTATACCCCAGCTGTCACCGAACTCGGTCACCGAACTCGGCCACGTTAGGAGGGCCAAGTGCTTCTGAGGGGGCAAAACTTGGCGCAGCTGCCGCTGGGGCAAGACTCGTTGGTGGCTGATTGGGTCAGGTCGGTGTTTTTTGGACGGACCGGTTTTGGGGGAAATTTTGAAGGGAGTTTCCGTGCGACCAAACCGTTCCTTGAGATGTAGAGACCACTCACTTCAGCCGTTGAGAAAGGGACAGTAGAAAACAAAAAACATCCCCTGCTTAGAGGGCTTTGGCTCCCAAGGAATGGGAGAGGGTGTGTTTGAGACACTGAGACACTCGTAAAGATTGGAAGGGTGCCTTGGTGTTCATGGGCATGATTTGCATGGTGTATTTTACTGAATAGTTTTTTAACTGTTATTTAATGATCCAGAGTCTCCTGGGCCACAAGGGGGTTTCAACGCCTGTGTTTCCTAACGGAGGCTTGCAAAGAAGAAGTCATTTTGAGACCCAGCCATATAATGTAACAATGTAAACCCTCCAGTTCTTAGGCCTCCTTTGTCATGCTCCATCACTCCGAATGAATTCGTAAGGCCCCTTGATGTGGCGCGACGCTCCATGGGCATCATCACACAGGTGTGCAGAGCTTCAGAGCAAACAGAAATGGGATGGAACAGAATGGGAGGGTTTGGCATGGAAAAAGACTGACCGGTTCGACTCGTCAGGAATAAGGGTGGCTGGATCTACAGGGGTGGTTCATTCCCTCATTCCCTACGAGTCGCACGAGTCTGAAGATGGAACAGAAAAGATGGAACAGTCCTTGGACCCCTGGCTATGCCGATCTTGAGCGATGTTTGACATTCGTTGACTCAGTTTACTGCAACCAAGTGCATGGAGTCGCTTTTGGAGGCAAGTCCCGAGTTTCTCCTGGAACATCAGCCGGTTGGGATCTTGGGCAACAGTTGGGATTGTGTGATTTCATACATCATTGACCTTGTCCTTTTTCCAGCGGTGAACGGGTTTTGCAGGATCCCGTGATCTTCAGTGGTACGGTGCATTACAACTTGGACCCCTTCGGCGAGTTCGACGCGGAGTTGCTCGGTTCGATGCAGTGAACACAGCGCGTTCATCGCGCCAAGTCGTGTGGTTCGATGCACTTGGAGCCATAGAACCTCAAGTGGAGAAGGCTTTGATGATTATTTCATATTGTTTCGTGTCTCGATGATACATTATAGCAATTTTGCTGACTTAGAACTTCAAAGATTATTTCCACGCATTTGCACTTGATGTTTTCGAGGTTTGGGCCCCCTGGTGTTTTGATTTTGTCAGGAGCACTGGAGAGCAACGGAACTCTTTGTGGGCACCCTTTAGCAAAAACTAAGTAATCGTATAGAGAAGATTGACCATTGAAATATTGTGCCATGAGACTGTAAAAGAAGCAATCGCCAGAATGAATGATTTAATAGCATGCGAAGCAATCGGGAGCGTCAAGCAGTTGCTCCCTTTTTGGGTTTTCATGATCGTTGATTTCCATCGAATTCAACACGACGCAGGTCTCTGGTCGTGCATGGAACGTCGACCGCTGAAAGGTCCCATGGGCACCAACTCCAGCGGCCCGGCCACCCTGCGGCCTGGTGGGTGGTTCGCCACCCGACGAAGCAGCCCAGTCCGAGGAAATGCTCGGCCGCTCTGGAGCAGGCGCAGCTGGCGGAGAGCTTGGAGCTTGAGACGCAGATCGATCAGGTGCAAAGCTGCTGGGAGGGGTGTGCAACAGGGCATGTTCAGACCGTTGGAAAGTGACTGAGGATACTGAAGTGTGAAAGAGCCCTGACATGTTTGGAAAAAAGTTCGATGTTGAAACTTCTATTAGACTAGCATCTAAGGCTTAAGCAATGTCATCACCTGGTTCTGTGTGTGTTGTTCATGTTCTTCCTCAACTCCAGGTGGCTCGCCTTGAATCAAAACCAGTCCCCGCATCACTGTCGCCAACGATGGGCGGCTTCTGTCGTGCGGCTTTTGTCGGCGAAGAGCTGGGGCGGAGCCTCCAAAGGGAGGGGGTGCCGGGGGAGGCCTGATCTTGGTGCAAAAGAACGAATTACCAGGCTTGCGCTAAGTGTCCAGGTGCCTGTAGGCAGCTTGCGCAGTAGCTTGTCGTGCTAACTTGGGAATCTGTAAACAGGTTACTGAGGGAGCAACGCCCTTTAGTCACTTCTGAAGGAAGCTCGTGTGGCTGCGAGGACGATTGGCTTGACGCACATCCGGCCCTACAAAGTCGCCAGCTGGTTTGGACAGCCCAGCAACACCGGCAACCCCTAGCCATCACTTGTAATTGATTGCTTGGATCTAAAGAGATAGGCTTTTCGTCGCCGATCGAGGCTTCTTGGAGATTGAGCAATTTTTATCTCCAGGACTCCAAGATCATATATATAATATATCATATATAATATGTGTGTTCAAAAGCCCTTGTGCTAGCACAAGCTCGCGGTTCTGCAGCCATTCTTTACAGTCTAGAGGTGTTTGTTTTATACATCCCTGCCTTAGTGGCTATCACGGTGAGATGTCGTGTATTTGCTTTTGCTGCTGTCCTGTCTTTTCTTGTGCTTCGCTTGGGCATTGCAGAAGGCCTTGTAATTTTGATTTGCATTCTGAGCCGACGAAGCCACTTATATAGGTTGTGCTCCCGGCTTGATCGGCTGATGGCCAACTGCCAACTGCCCTTTACACTGCTTCTACATGGTTCTACAACCTTTGAATATTCTCTGTGAGGGCAACCGTGACTCGAAACCATAGACCAGTTGTATGCAAGTCTCACGGTAACTAGATCTTTTGTATTTAGAGACTAGCTCTCAGCCGATGTAGCCGTAAACAGGCTCAAATCAAAGGCACATAACTGAACGCCATGGTTGTATGGCGTATGCCTGATAGCGACGATGATGAAAGTGACTATGAATCTTCGAGTGAATCATCTATCGCTGAGTTTTCGTTTGAGGACTGGGTACACTGTAAGAACTTGTTGGGTTAAAAATCAGTTCACTGTGGGCAGGGTTAGGTGCCTTTGGGGTACTAAGTGCTAGGACCTCAGTGCCGAGCAAGAGTCATTCCTGGAGTTTGGGAAGGTGTTCTATGACATGGGGCGTTCCTTGTCGGCTGAAGGCTTTAGGTGTTTTCTTTTGTTTTTTTGAGGGGGACTAGTCCAGCGTGTGCATGCTCTAAGGGCTTAGTTCTTTCTTCACTTTCTTCAAGAAACCGATGACCTATGCCTCTGATTGCAACTTGGACCTATTGTTTCGTGGGTCCTGGCTATACAACTCTCATTGGTGATAAATACAGTAGATTACCCTTAGGGTTAAATCCAACAACAGTTTACATCTGGAGGCTCGGGCATTGACACGCCATTGATGGCATTGATCATGCTGGTGCGTGCTCGCTTGAAGATCCCTATGGTGGAATACGTGCACCCTTTGCCGCATTTCAGGTGTCGGCATTTTCAGGTCTATTTCCTTTACTGTGGAGTTTAATCCTTTGAGCTCGTCGCTTAGGTGGCGGAGTGAGATGAACGCTGCTGCACGAAAGTTTTCTAGGTGGAACCTTCCAGAGCCTTTCCAGCCCCTAGAATGCACTGTGTGTAGCATGACCAACAAAAAACAACAACGTGAAAGTAAAAGTGATGATCCTCAGTTGCTATGAACTCTCCGCCTCTCAACCTAGGTCAGGCCGCGATGTCTTCAAAGCATCTGTGGGGAGATTCTACAAGCGGGTCGCGTTGTACGCGGCGGGATTTCCGTGTACCCCGTTTTCGGCATTGCATTCCTTCTCAAAACTATTGGAAGATAAGAACGCTCAGCAGATGTGGAAATGCCTACAAAACATCAAAGAATCCAAACCTGCGGTTACTTGTCGTCCTCTGTTCATTCTGTGGTTTGTGATGGTTTGTGCTTTTCCATGTTAACGGTTGACTCTTTTCCTTCCTTTGCATCTTTTTTTGGGTCGGGCAAAAACCGGCTAAGATGGTGATGCTCGAGAACGTGCTGGGATTCCTCAAAGTGATTGGGGAGGTATGTGACTGGATCAAGCTCCACTTGTCAGAGATTCTTAGCTCAAGAAAGCTCAGTTCAGACTTTCTTTGCCAGTGTTTGCATTCTCTGTTGCGCTGGGTACTTGCTCGGCATAGTGACTTAGTGTGCCAAGGTACATCCTTGCCTGGTTGATCATAGACCCGTTCCTCAGCAGCAGCCCTTTTCCGCACACTAACATGGCTTTGTGAGCTTGCCCGTGCCACAACGGTCACAGCTTCATTAAAGCCCTGTCCCAAGGCTGGATCATGGTTCACCGATTTCCCGACGCAGGGTGTTTATCCTATTGATGCACGGGTCTGTGATGCAAGAACAGGCCAAGAACAACTTCCAAGAATTTGCTGAACACATGAAAAACCAGTTCATGATGAAGAGTGATTTGCATTGGCTACTTGGTTCAGGTCTTGCTCTAGGTCTAGGTCTTGAAGCGATTCAGATTCAGTCACTGCATCCACACTGCTCAGCCCCCCCCCCTGCGACAGCTTAGGAAAGATCTTCTCTTTGCGAGAAACCATCCGACTGTGAAGAAGGATATGGCCAGGAGACAAAGGTTGAGGGCAAACAATTTCTTGCGAAGGGAGATTCATGGAGGGAAAACAATTTCTTGGGAAGGGAAACTCATGGTCACAACATGTCATTTATTCATGTTATTTGAGTTGGGAAGATGCTGAAACATGGATTCCTATCAAATCACGAAAGCTAGCATGCTAGCTGAGTTCTTCTTTGCTTTAGCAATGTTGTGGTGGGAGGGGCTGCGTGCCTTAAAGATTGATATATCAAGCTAACCCCCCCCCCCCCGCGGTTCAACTCCCAGCTGCGCCGTGTAGGGGGTTGGTTGAACGTGTGAACGTGGTTGGTTGGGTGTAACGGTGGCTTGGTGTAAAGGGTGCTGCTGCTGCTGCCGCTCTGCTGCTTGCTGCTGCTGTTTGCTGCTGCCGCTGGTTGCCGCTTTTGTAGCTGCTGCTTTGCTACTTGTTGCGGCTTGGTGCTGCTGCTGCTGTTGCTGACGACGCCGCTGCTACTGCTGCTTGCTGCTTGCTGCTTGCTGCTGCTGCTTGCTGCTTGCTGCCGGTGGTGCTGCTGCTGCTGCGGCTTGATGCTGCGCTGCTGCTGCGTCTGCTGCGTGGTGCTGCTGGCTGGCTGCTGGTTGGTGGTTGCTGCTGGCTGCTGGCTGCAGGCGGCTGCTGCTGCTGCTGCTGGCTGCTGCTTGCTGCATAGGACTTGTACTTCACCGTTACAAGTTGTTTACCCCTATTTCTAACCTAATGCATGCATAAGCGGGTGGTAAATTTACCCCCCAGGCTTGCTATATACACCGGCTATTTCCTCAAGACACTCTATTCTTGATACCTTTTACCAGTGCTTATCCTACACTACGGACGCCCTAGTGTATGCACAGTCCTTGTGATGCTTACCCCTCGTTCCGGCTCAAGGCATACATAAGCGGGGTGTAAATTTACCCCCCAGATTTGCCATAACCATAAGCCGGCTATTTCCTCAAGACACTCTACTCCTTATACCTTTTACCAGATCCTACACTACGGACGCCCTAGTGTATGCACAGTCCTTGTGATGCCAGAAATGCTTACCCCTCTTTCCAGCGCAAGGCATACATAAGCGGGGGGTAAATTTACCCCCCAGATTTGCAATAACCATACACCGGCTATTTCCTCAAGACACTCTATTCCATATACCTTTTACCCGTGCTTCTCCTACACTACGGACGCCCTAGTGTATGTACAGTCCGTATGATATCAGAAATGCTTACCCCTCTTTCCGACTCAAGGCATACAAAAGCGGAGGGTAAATTTACCCCCCAGATTTGCCGATCACGCATCTTCGTGCCTGCCAACGAGTGCACCCGGGTTGTTCCAATGTACCCTTCCCAGTCAACGATGTCACATTTACATTCTTTAGCGCAAAGTATGTACATAGCAACCTTCCTCCCAAAACATGTCATCCCTACATGCTTTGCCGACTATGTAACTAGTACATCCGGTGCGATTCGGCTAGCTTTCGACCTCTCCCCCTGGCCTCAAGTTCAATTCACAAATAATGTGGTATAGCTGAGAAAAGCCAGCGATCCACCCAAATGGGTAACACATCACAAGGACTTTGCGAAGGAGCACAAGATTCCAGCCCTTCAGTCTATATTACAGCGTATGATATACTTTTTTTGCTGGCCTATCATCTTCGCCCTTTAAGTGGTTCAGTCTCTTTAGGCGTGACAATCTCTGAATCGCTCGTGAGGTGAGAAAGGCAGAAGGAACACTGAAGCGGACTTTGCCCGCTGCCCTGGTGCAAGTTGGCACGCAGCGGGAACGCAACGTTCCAAGGCCAAAGTTGTTTTTTTCAGACTAAGTATTTTTTTTCGTTATATCTCCGTTGGGACTAGACTATGTGGTCGTGACCTAGGCTTTGGACCTTTTGCTTTTCAAGTACGGGAAGTTCGAACTCATCAACACCAGCCAGAGTATCTATCGCATGCCTACTGTCCGGGGAGTGGACGCCCCTCTTTGCTGTCTCACGCCAGGACCCCAAAAGACCAAACAGCTAGTACACGCAAAGAAAGTAAATGACCTTTGGAAGAGGGTTGCAACTAATCACCACAAGCTATGCCAAACTAAGGCCGCATGGAAAGTACTTGGTGTATAGCCAACAGCGCTTTCT